ATAGATTTTATTTAAATTAGAAAAAAATCTTATTTTACATATCAATACCAATTCCCTCTCTCTCCAATCCTTCCAAGCCCCCCACTGATCTCCCCATCCCATCCCCCATCTACTCCCCAGGGAGGGTGAGGCCTTCCATGAGGGCTCACCAAAATCTGTTAAGTCATTTGGGTCAGGTTCTAGGCCCTCCCCTGTGTATCTAGGCTAAGAATATCCCTCCCTGGGAAATGGGCTCCTAAAGTGCTTTCTTGCACTAGGGAGGGATACATCCTGGTTCCACTGCCAGAGGCCCCATAGACTGCCCAGTGCTACTAGCTGACACCCACATTCAGGGGGCCTGGTTTGGTCCTATATTGGTTCCCCAGCTGTCATAATGGGGTCCATGAGCTCCCACTTGCTCAGGTAGCTGTTCCTGTGGATTTTCCCAGTGTGATCTTGGTCACTTTGTTCATCATTCATCCCTCTCTGAAACTGAATTTCATGAATTTGCCTGAGTGCTTGGCTGTGAATCTCTGCTTCTGCTTCCACCAGCTACTGGATGAAGGCTCTAGGATGGCATTTAAGGTAGCCTCTCCACTATTGCTTAGATTCTTAGTTGGGGTCATCCTTGTAGATATCTGGATTTCCCTAGTGCCAGATTTCTCTTCAAACGTATAATGGTTCCCTCTGTTATGGTATCTATTTTCTTGCTCTCATCTATTCTCCCCTGACTCAACCTTCCTCTTCGCTCATGTTCTTCTCTCCCGTCCTCTTCTCCTCTTCTCTTTCTCCTAACTCCTTATCCTTCTCCCCCATGCTCCCAATTAGCTCAGGAGATCTTGTCCCTTTCTCTTCTCCAGGGGACTGTGTATGTCTCCCTTATGATCCTCCTTGTTTCCTATCTTCTCTGGTGGTGTGACTTGTAGGCTGGTAATCCTTTTCTCTATGTCTAATATCCATATGAGAGTGAGTACATACTATGACAGTCTTTCTGTTATTGGGTTACCTCACTCAGGTTGGTTTCTTCTAGTTCTGTCCATTTGCCTGCAAATTTCAAGATTCCATTATTTTTTTCTGCTGAGTAGTACTGCATTGTGTAAATGTACCACATTTTCTATAACCATTCTTTGGCTGAGGGCCATCTAGGTTGCTTCCAGGTTCTGCTTATTAAAAATAATGCTGCTATGAACATATTTGAACAGATGTCCTTGTTGTATGAATGTGTATCCTTTGGGTATATGCTTAAGAGTGGAATTGTTGCCACTCTTAGGCATATATCCAAATGAGGCAAGTTCATACAACAAGGGCATCTGCTCCACTATGTTCATAGCAGCATTATTTGTAATAGCCAGAACCTGGAAGCAACCTAGATGCCCCTCAACTGAAGAGTGGATAGAGAAAATGTGGTACATTTACACAATGGAGTATTACTCAGCAGAAAAAAAAACAATGGAATCTTGAAATTCGCAGGGAAATGGATAGCACTGGAAGAAACCATCCTGAGTGAGGTAACCCATTCGCAAAAAGACAAACATGGTATGTACTCACTCATATATGGATTTTAGACATGGATCAGGATAGTGCCAGTCTGCACTTCCACTGATAGAGAGTCTGGGAAACAGGAAAGAACCTAAAAGATATGCATATATGCATAGTACCCAAGAGAAGAGGATTGAGACAAGATCCTCTGAATGGATGGGGAACACGGCGAGGGGTGGGGAGTGGGACATGGGAAGAAGAGAGGGGGTGAAGAGGAAGAGAGTTGGTCATGGGGGAACAGAAAGTTGAGGGGGTGGGGGTAGAATAGGGGGAAGAGGGAATCATAGGATCAAAGACAGATCAGTGACCTCGAGTGATCTAAAGGGATAACACCAATTGGCAAGCTAAGCAATAGTGGAGAGACCACCTCGAATGCCCATTCCTGATAATGAACTTGATGTCTATAACCATCCGGGAGCCTTCATCCTGTGACTGATGGAAGCAGAGGCAAACACACAATTAATCACTGAACTGAACCCAAGGAACCCAGTGACAGAGAGAAAGGAGTGATGAGCAAATTGGCAAAGAATGGGCTGGCAAAACCAGCAGAGACAGCTGATCTGAACAGGGGAGAGCTCTTGGACCCCAGACCGACAGTGGGGAGGCCAGCATGGGACTGATCTGGACCCCCCCCAAATGTGAGTGTCAGCGAGAAGGCCTGGGCAACCTATGGGGCCCTGAGCTGTGGATCAGTGTCTATCCCTGGAATACAAACAGTCTTCGTGTGCCTATAGCACAAAGAGGGATGCTCTCTCAGCCTGGACTCTTAGGGGAGTGCCTGGACCCTACCCAGAGTGAAATGACAGACTCTAGCTATCCCCTGTGTGGAAGGATTTGGCAATAGGGTGGGAGGCTGGGGGGGGAAGGGGAGTGCGGGAGGAGGGGAGGGAGAGGGAACTGGGATTGACATGTAAAACAAGCTATTTAAAAATAAAATTAAAAAATATTTTTAAAAAAGAGTGGAATTGCTGGACCTTGAGGTAGACAGGTTCCCATTTTCTGGAGAAACGGCCATACTGATTTCCAAATTGACTGTACAAGTTTGCACTCCCACCAGCAATGAAGAAGTGTTCCTCTTTCTCCACATCCTCTCCAGCATAGACTGTTGTTGGTGTTTTTGATTTTAGCCATTCTGACAAGTTTAACATGATATCTCAGAGCTGTTTGATTTGCATTCCCTGAGGGCTAAGGATGTTGAGCACTTTCTTAAGTGTCTTTCAGCCATTTTATATTCCTCTGTTGAAAATTCTGTTTACTTCTGTACCCCAATTTTTGTTGTATTATTTGGTGTTTTTGTGGCTAGCTTCTTGAGTTCTTTATATATTTTGGATATCAGCCCTCTGTAAGATGTGAGGTTGGTGAATATCTTTCTCTGTTTTGTGGGCTGCTGTTTAGTCTTGTTGACTGTGTCTTTTGTCTTACACAAGCTTCTCAGTTTCACGAGGTCCCATTTATCAATTGCCAATCTCAGTGTCTGTACTACTGGCATTATGTTCGGGAAGTGGTCTCCTGTGCCAATTCTTTTAAGGGTACCTCCCACTTGCTCTTCTATGAGGTTCAGTGTGACTGGATTTATGTTGAGGTCTTTGATCCATTTGGACTTAATTTTTGTTCATGGTGATAGATATGGATCTATCTGCAGTCTTCTACATGTCCACATCCAGTTTTGTCAGCACCTTTTTTGAAGATGCTTTCTTTGTTCCATTGTATAATTTTAGCTTCTTTGTCAAAGATCAGGTGTTCCATTGGTCTACTTGTCTGTGTTTGTGGCAATACCAAGCTGTTTTCATTACTATAGCTCTATGATAGAGCTTGAAGTCGGGAATGGTGATGCCTCTGGAAGTTCCTTTATTGTACAAGGTTGTTTGCCTATCCTGGGTCTTTTGTTTTTCCATATAAAGTTGAGTATTATCCTTTCAAGGTCTGTGAAGAATTACTCTTGGATTTTGATAGGGATTTAATTGAATCTGTAGATTGTTTTTGGTAAGATTGCCATTTTTACTGTTGTAGATCTCATACTGTAAAATGTCATTATCTCTTTCTTCAGATTACCCTTATCTTCTGTATAATACCATCATTTTGTACAAATGCCACCATACAGCTCTTATGTATGTTCAGGCTACTGAGATGAGTTCCTTAACAGACATTCATTATTTACCTGTTATATGCTGTTTCTTAAGCGGAATAGAATACAATAAGTCGTATGGCTGCACTGTGGAAAACATAACACTACCCACAATATTTTCCTCATTCCTTTTCCTTCCCTGTCTCATTCACTCACACTTAGACAGGTACAAAGGTGTAGCATGGTGCATCAATTCCTCAGAGAAATGTGAAAGAAGCACATCAAACAAGGCTTCCTTCTTGTGTGCCTCTCAGTTAAAGAAGAGAATCCGCACTCTGGAGCAAGGAAGTAGTCAAATAATAAAACACTGAAGATGACTGGATAGTGTTTCCCAAACAAAGGGTTTCAAGCCTGCTTTTTCAGTTGGTATGAGTGAGTGGTACATGGTATTCAGAAAATGACATAATTGAAGAGTACAAAAGGCACAAGGTAAATTCATGGGAGTGATAGATACATTCATCGTTTTTGCTGTGATGATGGTTTCCTGGTAATACGCATGAAGCAGAAAATCCAAATTGCACCTTTAAGCATATGGAATTTATTCATTTCCACTAATATTTCAATCATGTTGAACAGAAACAGATATGAACCGTGAGAAAGAAAATGAAAAAGAAGCAGAAATATGGAGACCAGGAAAGAAGTGTCATCCACTAAGTTCTAATGGAATGCCAGAGAAAGTGCAGGACCCAAAGAACACATGGATGCAGGATTGTGGAGACAGATAGGGTCTCCTGGTATCACAGGAGCATCTGGTCTTTGCTGAGGCCTGGACCCCCAAATGAGATTCTAGTCTCGGAAGTAATAAAGGAACAATTAAGGACTGTCCTGATTTTGTAGTGTCCTGTGGTTGAAACAAATGTTAGTTACAGTCCAGTATGTGGATAGTTGACGGGGCAACTGATGAAGCTTAGGCTATTCCAGCATTTTACTGTGTCACCAGGTGACAGCACAGACCTGTGGCAATTTCCTTCTCACCCAGCCCCTTGATTTGCCTTAGTTAAATGCTCAGGAACTCTGACACCATCAAAATATATCATGAGGTAGAAGCTAAGCAGGCATAATTGAATAAAATATCATTTGTTGATAATGTATATATATATAAATTTGGTGACTTGGTAATGAGACCATATGTGCTTTCATCAAGGAATATTCTTATCAAGTAGCCTACAAATTAAAATATAAGATGTACAAGTATAGCTTTGTATGCCTACTACATATCTTGATATAGAGCACATAATTATGTTTGTTGTGTATCTGTAGGATGGATTCATGAAAAGAAGGGAGTATGGGTGGATGGATGGATGCATGCATGGATAGGTTGATGAATGGATGGATGGATGCCTGGATGGATGCATGGATGGATGGATGGATGCATGGATGCATGGATGCATGCATGGATGGATGGATGGATGGATGGATGGATGGATCAAACTAAAATGCACAGTAAACCACTAGCAGTCACTCAGAATAGCAAATTATGAGTACAATGTGGGATACTATAGCACTAAGTAAGAAGGTACTTCTAAGACTGGAGAAATGGCTCAGCAGTTATGAGCAATGGTTGTTCTTCCAGAGAACCCAGGTTCCATTCCCAATACTCTCATACGCAGCTTATAAACTTCAGTAACTCTAATTCCAGTGGATCCAATGACATCTTCTAACTTCTTCAGGAACCAGGCATACACATGATGTGTGAAGGCAAAACACTCATGCACATAAAATAAAAATAACTGTTTATTTATTCTATTTTAAGGAGTGACCTCTGAAGACTGAAGTCAGTACTTATTGCTTCATTGGAGGAGAAAGAAGTTGAGTTGATTCAGAATTAGAGAAAAATGTGGGCAGATAAGTCAGGGTACAAAGAGGACAGCCAACAGCTACACAGACTGAAGTGATGTGGTGATAACCCAATATAGTTTCTGTTACTCTTCTTTCTAAACACAGTATGTGGCACAGGATATGCTGACAACATATGATGGATGGAGGAGCAGGGATTGACTGGAAGAAGATAAATAGAAGGAAACATAATTTTTAAAGAATTCAGAGAATTGGGTATGCACTCTCCAGACAATTTAGTCTTTACCAAAATTTTAGTTTTCCTTTAAAAGGGAGTATTTTTATTTCAGTAGTAGATTCTACAGTACTTGAAATTATATTTGAGCTGATCAGGGTCCATTTTTAACCATGCTATTCAATGTCAAACTTTGTACAAGATGTCTTACTATGGCCACCTACAAAGAGCTCAAGTGCACAGCATTTCTCTTGGTCCATCCCCACAATAATTTCTCTATCAATTTCTCATTTCCAACCTTGTAATAATTAGATGATACTTACAATTTACAACATCTCTTACATGGTACTATCTTGTTTATTCCTCAAAAAAAGTGATTTGGGAGGCAAGTGCAGTTATCTCTCATTTTATACCTGGAGAACAAGACTTGTGGGACAGAAACACTTGTTTTAGTTCACTGTCCAATGAAAGGGAAAATCTACATTTCTACCCAGGGTTTCCTGAATACCGTGTTGCCTGTTACCACCTGATATCCTTAAAGAATGAAGGAAAGATCCTGCCCCACTGGGAGAGAGAGGAAAAAAGATAAAGCAGTTCGGTAAAGGATACTACATGGGACAGCATTCATTGTCCCTATGCATTAAAGTAGGATCTTTACTCTTTAGTGGGAGGAGAGAGTGTTCTTTGTTCTGCTGCTTCATATTCATCACAGGAACCTGAAAGACATTTTAGATGATCTCCCACGCCGTCCCCTCCTTTGTAAAGTTTGCTTCCTGGAGCTAGAGTGCCAAAGAGGATTTTTTTAATGGAGAAAATAATTAAGCTTTCTCACAGAGAAATCCCCCAAGTGATTCATCACAAAGAAGAACTGTAACAACAACCTTTCCCCCACCCAAACGCACTAATGTAATTTTACAGCAGATCAGCTTTTGTGATCCCAAGAGCAGGCTCAGGAGAGGAAGCCCACCTATTTGATTTGTAATTCAGTCCCTAAAACCACAGGTTTGAATCATACTGAGAATGGCTTTACTTTGTCACACGTGAGTCTACATTTGTTCTGGTAATGATGCTTAGGTCACTTAGAATGGGACAGGCTACTGTACTGGTGAGTTTTATTTTTTTTCTTCTTGTTTAAGACAACTAGGGCACTTTTCCAGAGTAGGATTAAATGATGGGTGTCAAAAGACAATGATAGCTGGCTGATATTCAAAAATGGGTGTGTAGGAGAGAGAGGGACGTGAATGTGTGTTTGTGAGTGGGTGAGGGTGTGTGTATGTTTGGGGGCAGAGATCGATATCAGGTACCTTATTCTGTCACTCCCCACACCCACCATGTTTTGTGAGGCAGAATCTCTCACTGAGTCTGCAGCTCATTGATTTGACAAGACTTGCTGGTCTTGCAAGCTCTAGGATTTTAGAACTGCGCGTATAAACCCAGCACTTTATGTGGGTGTTAGGGGTCCAAGCACAGGTCCTCATGCTGGCACAGCAAACAGTTCACTAACTGGCCTATCACTGGAGTCCTTCTAGACCTAACAGACTTTTACATGAGAGTTTAGATACTTCAAATGAATCTAGCTTTCCCTTCCTTCCACTCCTTCCTCTCGCTCTCCTCGTGCTGATACAGTAATTGTATTCAGCCAAAGAAGCTAAAGATTGAAAATGTTCACTTGGGAGACTGTTCTGACATTGTTCAAGGGGGAACAAATTAAAAGGTGCTATACCGTATTTTGATTATTTTTGCCACACAGAAGAATTGTGCATACTCAAACATATATGACCTGTCTTAAAGGCCTGTTTATACTTCTGATGCTTAGTCATTAGAGGAGAGCACAATTGAATAATTGACCAAATTCCTGATATGCCAGACTCCAGAGTGACATATTTCCACAGCATCCTGCTGATGCAGAGATCTTAACAGTTCTGTTATTACAGTACCATTCTCAAAACCTGTCAAAATGTAAAGTCACCATTTTAAATTGTTAAGTAATTATCATGGCTCTGTTGTCTGATATCCACGTTATACTTAGTCCCACCCCTCACTCAAGTCACTTCCCCTTCTCACATACGAAGCTTCTGATTGTTTACTTTTTAAAAATACATATTTATTTCATCCTTAGATGAAAACACAAATTACTTTGACTTTAATCTTTGAGAAGCAGACTAACCCCTTAATATCCTGTCATCCTACCATAGTAATACAGTGTTTTGTTATATTAAGGTGCTATAAATAGTCACTGAATTCCAAGAGGACTATTAGAGAGCTAATTGAGAGTTAATTGATCCTTGGGTACTTTAGGACTGAGAATAAGACAATATATTTTTGGGAAACTGCCAAAAATGGTGTCTATGCTCTAGATTTTTAAAATAGAAAACAGAGAACCATTACTAAGCAGACAAATCAATTTACTAATTATAAGTAAAAGAGTATATTCATTGAAGTTTAATATTATATGCAAACTCTTCAAGGTTCATAGGAGAATAGGTGAGTACTTAATACTGCTTCACCTGATAGATGGACCTGTATGGGAAGAATGAGTTTAGTGGACATAAATCTCCAATTTTATGGGATTTTCTCTGTGTTTGGTATGAATTTAAGTCACAAACTCAACTGTGCACAAAATCAATTTTGTGTCTCTATAATTGTACTTTGCATGAAGCCCCTGACAGGTTAGTTCTCTGCTATCCAGGTCTGACTCCTGCTATTTGTCCCCGTATCTCAATAGTATGCTCCATGTAGACTCTGCATCCTCTCAGTCACAACCCTTCTCACCTCAGGCCTGGGGACATGACGTGTTACTCTTTGCTCACCTCTGTGTGAGTCAATGTCAAGAAGGTACAGAAATTAGGATTGGAACATGCCATAAAGAAAACTTGGGGAAAGTAGACAGTGAAAAGAAAAATATTTGAAGACTAGTCAGTCAGGATAAAAGGCAAAGATTGACTGTGACCTTGTAGAGATCTCCATAGCCTTCCCACTGCCCAGTTCCTCTTGAGGTGAGTCACTTGAATTTCCGTAGTCTTCACTATGCCTTCAGTGGAAACAACTTAAATCTCTATTGCTTGCAGCCATGAAGAAAGAAAAGAAAGACACCATTAGGATGCTAACTGTGGGGAAGACATTTGCTAATAAACAGTCAGCCACATTCCCACATAACTACATAGAATATTAACCAAGTAAAGGTGTGTATGATTTCTAAGTATGGAAAATGGCGTAAGGGCATTCTAACCAAGAAACACCTGTAAGAAAGTTTGCAAAACTATGCCTAGTCCCTTGGTTATTTCTATAGCCAGTCTGACACTCTGTGGCTTCGACAAAACCATTCTGTTGGATACTGAAAAGGAAAGAAAACTGTGAGTTTACAGTTGGGCAAGCTACTTATGTTTACTCTTGATCTTCATTCCTGTGTTTCAGAAGCAAAGGGGAAAAAAAGAAAAGAAGAGAAAAGAGAAGAAAATTCCTAAGGTTATTCTATAATCAGACATAAAATTAAAAGGCAGACTCCCTCGGTTAAGTACTGAGCTGAACTCAAGAAATCCAGTGACAGAGAGGGAGGACTGATGACCAAAGGGATTAAGACTGGGCTGGTTTAACCCCCAGAAACAGCTGACCTGACAAAGGTTAACTCTTGAATCCCAGGCATCAGCCTGGGAATCCAGCATGGGTCTGATCAAGACCCCCCTGAATGTGGGTGTCAGTTAGGAGGCCTAGGTAATCTATTGAGCCTTGGGCAGTAGATCAGTACCCATCCCGAGTATGCACATGGATTTTGGACTCCCATCCAACAATGTGAGATGCACTCTCACCCTGAACTCTTGGGGAAAGGTCTAGGCCCTGCCCTATATGAAATGACAGACTATGGACACCCCCATGGAGGGCCTCACCCTCCCTGGGGAAATGAGGGGATAATGGGGGGTTGGGGGGGAGGGCATGGGAGGAGGGGAGGGAAAGGGAGAGGGACCTGGAACCGACTTGTGAAGCAACCTTGTTTCTTATCTAAATTTAAATTGAAAAATAAAAAAATAAAAAAACTTAAATCTTATAAAATGTAGGCTAAATTGCAAAACATTCTTGAAAATCACTGGGAAGGGTATCAAGAAAAGAAACACTCAAATGTATCCCTTGTGAATTAATTAAAGTGAACATATACATTTCAGTGTTGTGTGTGTCCTGAGTAATTTGCCTTTTATTTTATTAAGAACCCTTCAATGAAAGAAGGCTACTTCACAGCTGTGCTGATGTCTCGTGAACTTTTGAGATGGGTGGGGTAGGTACTAAACATTGCGGTCATGGGTACAGGCTGTTTTCCCTTTGCCTCAATAAATTTCCAGGTAAAAGATAAATAACCTGCGCTTTAGATGTGGCAGACTTGCTTACAGTTTTATCAGTATTTCCATAACATTTTGTGTTCCATTCACAGGATTTAAAGTAATCTATATCTCCATACGCTAAAGATCTTACATTTATAAAAAAAACTGACAATTAGCACTCACTGGATGTTAACTACACACTTTATTCATATGTCATGAACACTTCTACTTTGATAAGGATTTTGCCACGGATCTCCACTTATAATAATACTAAACAGCAAGTTTCTTTAGATATTCATGAGTATCTTAGTGACATTTAAATAGAGAACTATTTCTAAAAGCACTGGGGAAAAATAAAAACTCTCATTAAGAGAACAAATAATTAGGATTCTTGTATTATCCCCTATATTTGAATGTCTCATGGAAATGTTTCCATACCTGACATTCTAATTTAACTACAATGCGGCAACCCAGCACTGTGGTAATAGAATATTGATTGTACAGTGTTCAAAGACAAAGAACTCATGCTGGTGTACATTTTATATATGCATGATATTACAACACAATATCCATGTCAATAATTTTCAGAAAAATGAACCCTACTCTCCCTGCGGTCAATGGCAACTTAATTATGAAGTAGTCTTTCCTCTGATGAAACACTTTATCTCGCATTAACCTAAACATAACTGAACATGCTGATCTCAGAGTACTGCAGAAAAGGAACACAGTGAAAATACACTTAGGAAGTTAGTTCACTCAAATATACTCTTCCTAATTTTCATTACTAAGATTTTTATTCTCACTCTGAGTATTTGAGAGAATTTTCTCGAGGAGATTATAATCTTATGGAAAACAAGTATTAACACTGTATTCTGTATTGCAGCAAACAAAAAAAAAACAAGATAAGAATAGCTTTATTAATGCAGATGAGTTCTTTTACCTCCCATGAGACTGTTCACAGATATGGTGTTCATGCCTGTTAGAAAGAGCTTACTCATGAAGAAAATAATTAAGATGTTGTTTTATTCACTTGTGAATGCAAACAGAGAACCTAATGAGAATTGTAAATAAAAACTGGAAGGTTTTGCTGGCATACAGATCAACAAGTAATTGTGAAAATGGTTTAGAAAAGTTGGCAATGGGGAACAAGGAGCAGGAAATGGGGCCTTATACTGGAGCAGTGAAAAGGCTGTTAGACTTTGTAACCAACTGCCACCCAGTTTGAGTCCCCCTTCCAGCACCCTGACAGATACTCACACAGCATTTGCTTGAGTGTCCTCAGGACAGCTATATGGTGAGAATCATATTTCCCATAGTGAGGCAAACTCGTTTCTATGTCTTATGCTTGTCTTGCTCGGCTGGTGAAGGCCCAAGGAAGATGAGTTCTATGAAGTTCATTTTGACAAAACAAACCACCAGATTTTTAAAGTACCTATTTCATGGCCCTAATTCTAGGGCTTATGCTATTAGAATATTCAAAGTTCAGTGTGCCTTTGGATTTACCAGTTAGAAACGCAAAAATTTATTTCACTTAGGTTATGGATACTTTTTATTGATAAACATTTAGAAGTTGCTAAGAGAATAGTTTTAAGTGTAGTCACATTAAACACTGAATGATGTAGTATATATATTTAAAAACTAAAATGGAAAGAGTATTCTCTAGTACCTTTGGTTTGGTAGAGTAAGTCACTATATCACTGACAATCAAAATTTTAAATCTCTTTCCAAGTTGGAGAACAGTTCTAGTTATTACAGGTGTGTGTGTATGTGTGTGTGTGTGTGTGTGTGTGTGTATTCAACAGCAAAAGCCATGTTGTCAAAGTAAATATGCAGATATATAGATATCCTATTTTAACTATCAAAAGTTTTGATGAGACAAATTTTGGTATCATTTTAAGTCTAAGAAGTCATCATTATACCATACACATAATGAAACTTTTGTAGAGAGGATCAGAATGGCTATGAAGGCCCATATAATTGTAGAAAGGGGGGAAGAGGCCTTTAAGACCCTTCATTTGTTGAGAGGATTGGAGGGACCCTGGAATCCCATCATTATCCAGATGGTTTAAGGAGCCAATAGCTAAACAAACTAAAGAAAAAAGTTATCAAGGTCTGTAAAATGATTCCAACATTTGTATCACTTGTACCTTCAAAGGATCAAACATAGGAGAAGCAGTGTTGATGCAAAGAACTTTATTAGCTGTCCATGGCCCACAATCTCCATGAGTCAGCTCCTTTTCTCATCCAAAGTGCTGTCATGGCACTTTGTCCATTTATTTTCAACCTCAGTGGGGCTATCACAGGCTATTTAGCTTAACCCATGGCCAAAGGAAAGCAGGGCAGGCTTGACCTGCTGTGCCAATGGCTCAGTCTGACTCTGGATGGATGCATGTAGCACATTGTTGTCTGTCCTTCACCCACACCTGGCTGCTGAGAAGACATTGTGTTAAACAACAGGACCCGTTGGTATTTTGCATGCATGGACCTTATATGCTTTTAAAGCCTATAAATTTTGTATAATATAAAGTTTATATATAAAGCTGTAAAAGTGTTTCTAGTAACTGATGCTAACTGCATTATATATACAAATGCAAACTTGTAATGGTTGCTTACAAAGCAGTCATTTAACAAACTTTAACACTTAACACTTTTGTTAAATTTTTGCCTAAAGTAACAAAAATTTTTAACTCAGAGTGAAAAAATAATACAATTCTTATCAAAACATAAAATTTGGTTTTAAGTTCATCACAAATAGCAAAGCAGTCTATTAAACAGTGTCTTGATGCTTTAGATACAGGAATCAGGCTCTAGTTTTACATTGTTATCTTTATATTAGGACATTAGCAATGTAGAAAAGATGACTCTTACTCATTCTCAAACAGTATTTTTACATTTGTATGAAGGATTAATTTTTATCCTGTACTGCTTTTAGCCTTAGTATAATTTATGTTAGAGACAGTTAAATACATTAAGATACAACAGTATTGGTTAAATTACATAAGTTTTAAATTATCCAAAGATGACTAGCAGCCATTTATGGGACATACACATGCACTAACATACACAAACATAGAGATAAGATAGATGATATATATACAGATATTCCTCAACAGAAACATTATATACAAAGCACAGATTTTTTTAAATGATCACACAGATACACCTGTGTCATTCTAATTGTTGCTGGTTCTATGTGTAAGATGCCTCTAAAAGAAGTCCATGGGTATTGAATAGTTATAAGTTTGTGCACAATTACTTAATTTTCAAAATGATTCTACTCCTTTGGCTGTGTTTTTGTAAAACTGTCTGAGGAATTATTGTCTGTTACTTTATAATTGTGTTTTTGTAAAACCTTCTAACTAAATGTTAATGTCTAGAGGACAGCTTCTGAGAAAGAAACCTGAAGAACATTTTAAAAATGCTGGAACATCATCTACAGGACAAGCATATCAACTTCAGGTATCCCTGGCCTAAGAGCCACTTCTGTATCTCAGTTGTGTAAATTGAGTCCAAGTGGTTTACTGGCACTAACTCCTTGACAACTGTCCCTTATCTATTCTCCAAAAACGTAAGAAAAACTCAGAACCACCAGGGTGAATCTTTCCCTGGCATCATAGAACAATGAGGAGCAAACTACCTAGTGGTTAATCAGCAATGTCTTCAGAGAATATTGTTCAACGACAGGGGAAGTTGTCAGAATTGAAATAAAGTGACACAGAGGGTGGTGGTGTGTTCCTGTAACCCCAAAAACTTGGGAATTGGAACAGGAGAATGTATGTTCGAGGTCATTCTAGGATTGCTGACAGGACCACATCTCAAACCCACAAGGCAGAGCTCCTAGTGCCAGCCCTTCTAAGTATATATGAAAATATAGTTCTTACACTGTCACGGACTGGTGTTAGTGGGGTTGCAGTCGGGACCAGCTGAGCAGTCCCAGGTCTGCTCCTGAGTGGGGGGATGTGGATGAGAGAAAGGCTAACTATAGATGCTAAAGGAAAGACGAAGACATTAGATAGTGTCAGGAGGGCAGTTTCAGTCCATACTGAATGTGCCTCAGTTTATTCATACATCATCTTAAGTAACCAACCAAAGGTAGGGACAATGGCAGGAGCTTTCTATTATCATGTATAAAGGGCAAATAGCAATTATTTCCCTTAATCCTAAAGACACTCCATAGCTGAAGATACTACTTGGCCATCAGGTGTTTCAGAGCTGCATGTACCACCTAGCCTTAAGGATGAGTGTAAACTTGCCTGGGCCCGAGTCTATTGTTATTTAGATGGAGTCATTTACCACCAAGGCCAGGACATCCTGTAGCCATTAAGCTAATGTCTTAAGGTCAGTAGGAGTGATTTCGAGCTCTCTGAACTCATGGCAAGACTGAATGATCTTCCAAATACAGTCCAATAAACATGGCTACCTGACACTAAGTGTATTCTAATCTTGATCTCTATTTGTGTTCTGTTATTATGTTTGTTACAGACACATTCCACCTCAGGATGGAAGTGAGGAAATAGAAACTAGCCAACATGCCTGGCCAAAAAAAAGATATCCTAAAAAATATTTGAGTCTCTCTATCTAAATATCAGACTATTGAAACAGTGGATAACTAAATGAGAATCTCATACTGGAAAAAGAAAATAAAATGTGTTTCCCAAAAAGAGGCATCATACATTCCTAAGAACTCGTCAAACCATCACACTGATTTTGTTTAAATAGGTGCTTCTAGGAATAAATGAGGCTGTGAGAGTTTGGAAAGAGTTTTAAAATTTCATGTTTCAATTATTTACATACAAAAGAAAGCAAAGGACAAGTTGCTGACATGTTTCAGTTCTGTATGGTAAGTATAATCCTCCTGAATTCCTGTCCACTTCTTCAGAGATTAGTAGTGTGCAGTGTTTTAAAGAAAATGACCCCCAAAGGGAGTGGCACTATTAGTTTGGTGTGGCCTTGTTGCAGGAAGTGCATCACTGTTCGGTCAGGCTTTAAGGTCTCTTTTTCTCAAGCTTTCCTCGGTGTGACAAGCAGTCCACATCCTGTTGTCTGTAGCACTATCGGCTCCAGCACCATGCCTGCCTGCTGCCATGATCACCTTCATGTTCATAATGGCTGAATCTTTGAAACTGTAAGCGAGCCACCATAAATTAAATGTTTTCCTTTGTAAGAGTTGCCAGTGGTCATGGTGTCTCTTCACAACAATAGCAAACCCTCTAACTAAGACACAGTATAACAAAATGTAAAACATTTTTTAAGTTTTCTCTTTTTTGTGTGTGAGCTTTTAAAAACACTAGAATAGGATTTTTCATATAATATAGTCTCCTTACCCCTCCCAGATCCTCCTCACCTTTCCTGCGGACACAAATCTGTGCCAGTTCTTGCTCTCTCATTAGAAAACAAGTAATAAATGAGCACTGAACTTCAAGAAGTATTTTAAGAAGTAACAAATGTTGAGCATACAATTCTACTCCTCCATCCTAAATTCCATTTATATGCTCACCAAAAAAAAAAAAACACTAAGGATGCTACTAGTCTACTCCACAGACTAGCACAAAACTGGAATTTAACTTCTACCTCTAAGGAGCAACGAAGGTCAATAGCAATGGTCTATGATGCATTGGGATTCTCAGAAAACCCTGATCAATCACTCAGAAGAGGACTTCTCATGCCTAGTGTTGAGAGTTTTGTTGAGGGGGGTATTATCAGCCAAGATGGGAAATTTTAATTTACCCCATTTATATGTATTTATATACAGACTTACATGTATATGGGTGCTTTTAGGCAGTTATCAGTATGATTCCTTATATCTTTTTCAGATATACTTAATGTTATTTTGCCTTCCTCCCTCCTACTTATTTATTGATCTCTCCCTTCCTAATTTTTCCTTCATTTTCCCATTTCCCCCTTCAGGTCATTTGTACCCTGATATTCCCCTCAATATTGTTGCCCTTCCTAGTGGTCCCTTTTTCACTTCCCTGGTTTCTGCAGTTGTTCCAAGTTATAGTAATTATCCCTGCAATTAAGGAAATTCAGATCAAAGCAACTTTGTGAAGAAATCTTATTTTAATCAGAATGCTAAAGATTAACATAAAAACCAACAGCAAATGCATGTTGGTGGTATTGCAAACTGATCCATTCACTTTGAAAATCAATGTGGAGAATCGTCAAAAAATTTTTAAAAAGTCTACATTATGACCCAGCTGTGCCATACCTTGGCATATACCCAAAGGACTTAACATCCTATTCCACAGATAGTTGATCAGTCATGTGCATTGTTACTCTATTCACAATAACCATGCAATGTAAACAACCAAATTGCCCATCAACCAAAAGAGGGATAATGAAAAGGTGGTACATATACACTATGGTATACTATTCAGCTGTAAAGAAAAATAAAATAATGAAATGTGCAGTTAAAGGGTAGAACTGGAAACACTCACATTGAGTGGGATAACCTAGACCCAGAAAGATAAATGCCACATGTTCTCTCTCATATGAGGTTTCTAGAACCAACCTTTCATATGTGAGTCCTGTACTTTACTCTTAGAAGGAAAAAATGTAACCCCTTTCCACAATGGTGTATCTCCCAGAAAAAAAAAATAGTAACTTTGAAAAGCCAAACCCTAAACGTATATTCTATGTGATTCCATTTGTAGAAAAATAATGAAAAAAACAAACATGAATCCATGATGATAAACATCGGAATAAAAGTTACAACTCAGAGCAGGGAGAAACCTTGAAGGAAAAGTGCAGTAAGTTTCAATGTGGCACACATATTCTGTCTGTTGTTCTTGATAGTATTTACTTAGAAATATAAACATATAAAAGTTTCTTTGTGAATCAGTTTATGCTGGCTAAATTTGTGTCAAGTTGATACAAGCTAGAGTCTTTATAGAAGAGGGAACATCAACTGAGAAAATTATCTCCACTAGATTGACTTGTGGGCTAGCCTCAGATAAGGCTTGATTTATGATGTGGGAGGATTCAGTCCATTCAGATAGTGCTACCTAGCGAGGTGGACCTAGGATGTATAAGAAATCAGACTGAGCAAGCCATGAGAAACAAGCCAGAAAGAAGCATTCCTCCATGATCTTAGCTCTTGTTCCTGCCCTCAGGTCTCTGCCCTGACTTCTCTGAATGGTGGACATATAAGCTGTACACGGAACTATACCTTTTCCTTCACAATTTGTTTTTAGTCATGATGTTTTATCACAGCAATAGAAACTCAACTAACAGTTCTACAAAAGTTTTATATTATAAGCCTCAAAAATTATTCAAAAAACTTTTCATTTCATTTACTTTTATGGTATTGTGGGTGTACATGCCACAGAGTGCACATGGAGGTCAGGGAACAACTTGCCAAAGCAGGTTCTCCTTCTGTACTGTGAGTCCTGGGATCAAACTCAGCTCATGAAGCTTGGAGGCAAGCATATTTAGCCACAGAAAAATCTTACCAGCCCGAACTGTCTTTATGACAATAAATCATACCCTTGTGAATTGCTTATATCTTACCATCTTCCTTCTGCCTGTGGCATCCTGTTGAGAAGTTGAATGTGAATTTTCATTGAAATCATCCTGCAATTTCACTTGAAAAACCTACGAAAAGCAAATCAGATGTCAAACTCATCCTCTTGCCTGCTAGTTTACATTTTAAAGCAGTGTTCTGTAAAAATGTCTATCTTTTATGGAAAGGAAGTAGGAGTAAGACTATTAAAAAGAGCACAAAATCAAAAAGAATAAAACTTAAAATAACTATACAGCCCAGCTCCCAGTCAATCTATGTTGGTGTGTGTGTGTTAAGAAGAGAGAGTATGAGATAACAAAAGCCACTCAGTTACTTAAAATCTTGCATGCTTTTGAAAAATAAGCATCCTATTATATTAAAAAGAAATAACATGGTAAGGCTGTTTTCCTTTTGAAAGCAACATCAACTATTTTATTTTATTGGTGACACCATTGTACTTAGCTTCTAAATGTGTATTGTTTAGATAATACAAATTACTATATAATCAAAAATGAACAATGTAATAAATAATTACATCTATTTTATATGCCTCAAACAGCACTTCGATAGTGAACCAGTTTTTATACAGCAATACCAAACATCCTATAAACACTCATTAAATATGGGCAATAACACCATCTAGTACATGGCTGAATTCTCTGTAGAATTTTAGTCACTTAAAGCCATTTAATTAGTCCTATGACAACAACTCTGCTCTATGGTATGCAACTTAAATAATCACTGTTTCTGTGAGGGATCAAGGGAAGAACAGTCTGTTATTACTTACCAATGTCTTCAAGCAACACTCCAATATCATTTTTTAACAACACAGCCATTTCAGAGGAGAGTTATGCAATCAATCAACGACAAATATGAAAATAATTTCCAGGGCCCTTTTTATTACACAGAATTGTTTCATTGCTCAGAGTTGTCTTCATTCCTATTCTATACCTGTTTCCAGATTAATATCAATTTTAAAGCCAAGCAATCAATCTCTATGCAACAGTAATTTAGCATCTGCAGTGCTGTGACTACATTGGGGCATTACTCCACAATATTTCAGTTGAAAGGTAACAAAAGCACAATAGCAATTCAATCTAAATTTAAAAGCAGGGGTGCTAATGCATTAGTGTGTAGAAGCTGAGAGTCTAGCTCTAAGTCTAGGGTTGCTTAGCTAGACTTTGGCTTTCTGCTCCTCCTCTCTCTGCACCTTTGCATGTTGACCTCAATTTCTTGTACAGAAGAAGCAAAGGCCTGGTTTCAGAGATTCCAACTTCATTACACTTTATCAATCAAAGGAATATGTAACCCTCCTTTTCTCTGTCCTAAGAGCCGATGATTCAGCTGGGCGATGGTGGTGCACGCCTTTAATCCCAGCACTCGGGAAGCAGAGGCAGGCAGATCTCTGTGAGTTCGAGGCTGGGCTGGACCGACAGCCTCCAAAACAATACAGGGAACCCTATCTCGTAAAAACGAAAAAAAAAAAAAAGAGCTGATTCAAATTCTAGAGACAGCTTTATCTGTCTATTTGGAATCACATGATCAAGACTCATGGGAGAAACATGAAGAAACATAAGATCTCATTGAGCATTCTGATCATAAATCCACTTCATATCCCTACCCCCAAAATGTCTCATATCATGTCTTCCCCACAGGCTATTCCCACAGACGTTGGAGAGCGATGCTACTGGAAAGATTAGTGCTGAGGTGATGAGAGGGGCAGTAATGATGAGCAAGCCAAAGCAACAGATGTTCATCTTGTCCTCTCACTTTGGAGCTAATTCTTGTCCTGTACACAGTAGAGGAGTACTGGCTCACAGAATGCCACTTTCTGGCTTCTCCATCAGATCAATACAAAGTACAAGTGTTGTGGTTCACCAAAGAAACTGAAATCATGCGAGAAATTCAAATGCATGGAGAAAACCTGATTACAATTACTGTCCCATAGACTTGATAATAGAAATGTTCACATATCCTTATGAAATATCCTGCACCAATCCTGAACAATACATTTTGGAAATTAAACTGATAACCCCAATAAACATATATCTTTTGAGTTGATAATTCCAAAATTATGACCAAGAAATGTAGAAGCATTGTTACTACAATATTTTTGTTTTAATTGATAGTTAAGTTAAATGATATCTCTGGTCTGTGTCTATCTATCAACTCGATCCCTGGCAAAGCTGGGAAGCAAAGAGTGTAAGGGTTGTTAGACATTAGGAGAAGTTTTGGTAAATATTTCTACAACTGTAAGCCTGAGTTTTAATACAATTTAAAACAAAACATCAAAATCATCAAGGAAAGAAAAATATATTGCACAAAACATAAAGAATAACAATGAACAAAGTTACAGGAAAATGGGAAACTGGTAAAAATGTTTGGAGCACACATAAAAGACAGAGGATTAATATTTTTAATATAATAATAGCTTTTACAAATCAATATGGGAATAGCAAGCCCAGCAATAGAAAAATGATGACAGAATATGTTTTAGAAATTCCAACAGAAGAAAATACATACACAGACTCTATTGACATGAAAAACTGTATTCAAATCCATCACTAGTCAAAGACACAAATTCATACATTATTTGATTTTGTAATGCTGGTAAATATTCAAGAAAAATCTACTACTGTTGAACAACAATTAGATTGATAGAAGTTTTCAGAGGAGTCATTTGTCATTGTATGCAACTGTGTTAGTCAGCTTCCCAGCACTGTGACAAAATACTCAAGTAAAATAACTTAAGAGAGCTGCAAGGTTTCCAGGGGTTTTGCTCTATAGTTGGCTGTCTCCGGTGCTTTTAGACCTTTGCTGAGGAAAAACATCAAGGTGGCTAACATGCTGGAGCAGCATATACCTACTTCATAGAAGCCAGAAATCCAGAGTGTGTGCAGGCATGGGGAGTACCAGGGATTCAAAATATGCCATAAAGATTCACCCAACACTGACACACTTCTTTTATGACAGCCCTAGCTTCTTGAACTTTCCACCTGACAGGCACACCGACATCTGGCAGTCAAGGCTTTAGCACATGACTTTTCACATTAGTTTCAGATTCAATGCATACAATGATTTCAATGTATATTTCCTTTGACCCAGCAATCCTGCTTCTCAGCACCAAGGAGAAAATAAATCCTTATGGAAATAGTGTGTGTGTGTGTGTGTGTTTGTGTGGGTGTGTAAGGGAGTGTGTAATGTCATGTACATATGTGTGTACAAGATCATTTGTGTATGTGTGTGCATGTGGGTTTTTGTGTTTGAATATATGATGTTTGAACATATGTGTATAAGGACTTGAAACTTTGTTTTTACACTTTTTGTTATATATTTAAATTAGAAACAAGCTTACTTCCCATGTCAATCCCAGCTCCCTCTCCCTCCCCTCCATGCCCACTACCCCTGTCAGCCTCCCCAGCCCCCACCCAATCCCCACTCCATTCCCCAGGGAGGGTATAACCCTCCTTGGGGGATCTCTAGAGTCTGTCATTTCTTTCCAGGGAGGGTCCAGGCCCTTCCCAAAGTGTCCAGATTGAGAAAGCATCGTTCATTGTGGGATGGGTCCCCAAAGTGCCAGGGATAAATACTGATTTACTACCCCAAAACCCCATAGGTTGCCTGAGTCTCCTCACTGACACCCACATTCAGGGCATCTGGATCAGTCTCATGCTGGCTTCTCAGCCATCAGTCTGGGGTCCAAGATCTCCCCCTTGTTTAGGTCAGCTGTTTCTCTGGGATTCACCAACCCAGTCTAGATCCCTTTGCTCATCACTCCTCCCTCTCTGTCACTGTGTTCCAGGAGTTTAGCTGTGGGTGTCTGCCTCTGCTTCAGTCTGTCACTGGATGGAGGTTCTAGGATGGTATGTAAGATAGTCATCAAAATCATTATTATGGAGGGGCATTTAAAGTAGTCTCTCCACTACTGCTTAGTTTGCCAGTTGGTGTCATCCTTGTACATCTCTAGAGTTCTCATTAGTGCCAGCTCTCCCCTCAAACCTAGAATGGCTCCCTCTAAGGACTTGAAGCTTTTACTGAAACAAATCAGGTGAGGTTGCTCATGCCTACATGAAACACTGAAAGGAAAAGCAAAATCAGATAAGCTTCATTGCTTCCACATTTCTTTAAATTTGACAGTTACTAACCTAGTTTATGTTTCTCAAGTTAGTTTTGTCTCATCCAAATCTTTTGAAGAATCTTTCTCACTATATGTATGATCCAAGAACAAGAGTTAAGTAAACACTGTGACCAGTTCTGATACCCCTTAAGTTCTGTTATTTATAAGTGGGCCACACCAATAGACATGGTACACTTTTTTTCTCTATGGATACGGCTTACTTCTTCTTTTGTTACACAGACACTTTCTCTGTAGACATGGCTCAACTTGTCTACTGTTACAGAGTTCACCTTATCTTCCATAGATGCCATTATCTCATGTTCCGTATGTGTAGTTCAATTCACCTGTTACAGAGTTCACCTCATTTCTATAAGTATGGTTCACTCTGTCTTCTAGAGCCACAGCTCACTTCATTCTTCTGTAATGCAATTCATCTCATATTATGCAAGCATATGATTTGAGTGTACCTTCTAATGTTCACATGAAGGAAATTTTGTGTCCAATGAGGAAATACTGAATGATGGGAGCTTGAAGGGGTGAATGGGTCATGAAGTGCCTGACTTGATGAATGTATTAATGTCATTGTCATAGAAATGGGCTTGAGTTACTTCCAATGCAATCCTTTCTTTCTCTCGTTGTCTGTCAAGCTCCCTCTCCTTTCCTCACCCTCTTAGTGTCAACCATAGGATGATGAAGTTTCCACAATTTCCCAACATATGGTAACAGCACAAACGGAATAATAAACATTCAAAGCGTGAGCCTGTGGGGCATGTCAGAGTCAGACCACAATATGGCTGAAGATGGGATTTTATTGTTGCTCTCATATCACTGTTTCTGCCCTCAGCACTTGACAAGGTGGACCTTTGCATCTGTGAAAAGACCTGTTTTGTTTTTCTCTGCTTCTTCTGACATTGTTATTAGCTTTCTTTGCCGTGGTTACTGCACTGTTCACTCGCTCTACACATTTTGTGTCTT